CTCCAGGATCATGACCTGAGCCGAAGGCAGTCGCTTAACCAACTGAGCCACCCAGGCGCCCTCCATTATCCTGATTTAAGCAAGACATTTTTATATGCTTTAGAATGTTTTTTATTTGGGGCCGGGAGTGGTAACTGGGTGGCTCAGTCGATGAAGCGTCCGAATCTTGATTTTGGCTCAGGTCATGATCTTAGGGTCGTGATATTGAGCCCAGTGCAGAGCCTGCTTGAAATTTTTCTCTCTCCCTCTCCCTCTGTGCCCGCCCACACCTCCATGCTCACTTTCTGTCTCTCTCTCAAAAAAAAAAAAAGTTTTTAATTTGGAATATATAAGCTCCCAGGAACCCAGATTACTTTGTAGTTAAACTCCCGAGGAACTAATATTACAGTTTCATATTTTATATAGAAAAATTTCAAAGTGGTTTCTAACACTGAACTTTACTACTTTTTGGTGCATTTTAATAGGTTGATCGGGATCGAGATCTTCTTATTCAGCAGACCATGAGGCAGCTTAACAACCACTTCGGTCGCAGATGTGCTACTACGCCAATGGCTGTACACAGAGTGAAAGTCACGTTTAAGGACGAGCCAGGAGAGGGCAGTGGCGTAGCACGGAGTTTTTATACAGCCATTGCACAGGCATTTTTGTCAAATGAAAAACTGCCAAATTTAGATTGTATCCAAAATGCCAACAAAGGCACTCATACAAGTAAGTAGTCTCCAGATAACAAGCATCATAAAAATCATGTGCATGGATGAAATTGGTGAAGGGGATTAAGAGGAGAAAAATTCTTGTTTCAATTCTTGTTTCATCAGAACATTGTAATTACAGTTACAAGTATTTATAGTGGGAGGACTTTAGTGTACATTCACATTTTTATAGTTTTATTCTAGGTTAATGATTTAATCTTGTTTAAACTACTCTAATCAGCAGTTTAGCACTTGGCTCTTTTACTGACCCATTTATTTTCATAAATGTGACTGTAGTAGTGAGTTTCTCATCTCAGTTGTTACATGTTTGGGGAGTGGGAAGTTTTAAGCTCTACGGGAACAGGAAAATTCAATGAGCACATTACAGTATTTCTACCACCCTTGTATTTAATTAGCACAGATACTTAAGAAAATACTATTCTCTAGAGCGGTGCTATTCAGAGTACAGTTTGCAGAGTTGCTACCGGTCCCCAATGAGATAAGGAGCTTGCAACCAAATATAGATTGGTTGACCGTATTATTAACCTCACTGTATAATTTAGCAAGACTTTGTTTTTTTGGTAATAAGATTTTCTGTTTAACATCCTGGCTCAAGCTCGACCTCCTTGAGGACCAGCACTTAAGGATTAGGATTCTTACCTAATTTTCAAATTAAAAAAAAAAAAAATGTGAAAATTACAAATGCCGGGGAGCCTGGGTGGCTCAGTTGGTTGGGCGACTGCCTTTGGCTCAGGTCATGGTCCTGGAGTCCCAGGATCGAGTCCCACATAGGGCTCCCTGCTCGGCAGGGAGTCTGCTTCCCCCTCTGACCCTCCCCCCTCCCCCCTCTCATGCTCGCTCGCTCTCATTCTCTCTCAAAATAAAATCTTTTTTTTTTTAAGATTTTATTTATTTATTTGAGAGAGAGAATGAGATAGAGAGAGCATGAGAGTGGGGAGGGTCAGAGGGAGAAGCAGACTCCCTGCTGAGCAGGGAGCCCGATGCGGGACTCGATCCGGGGACTCCAGGATCATGACCTGAGCTGAAGGCAGTCGCTTAACCAACTGAGCCACCCAGGCGCCCTCAAAATAAAATCTTAAAAAAAAAAAAAAAAATCCAAATGCCTTAAGTAGCTTATAATTGGGGATTCATGTAAAGTGGGGGCAGAAACTGTCATATTGTAGGTGGATAATTCAGGGGGAGGGAATTACTAGGAAAATCCTGTATTTTATCTAGGCTGTAGTGATACTCTATTGGGGTTCTGTAAACTGCCACCATAGAGGCTGAATGAGCTCCAAGAAGGATTGAGGATGAAAAGATGGTGTAGAGTACTCCAGCCTTTCATCATTAGTTTACCATTTGACTTTCTGTAGTCTTAATAATAAAAAGAAATTGGCAAATGTGAATGAGCGAACCTGGGAAGTCATAACATTTCAGAAATAACTTTTCTGCACTCTCTTTAGGAAACCATACTTTGGCTTATTATGCTCAAGGTTTTGAAAATAAGAGCTAATGTCTTAGGTATTCTGTAATGCTTAATGCCCAAAACTAAGAATAAAGAAAATAGATAGGACTCTAATCACATAAGAAATCTTAGCATTATTTATGGTGAAAATAGCAGCCCCAGTTGCTACGTATTATTTCACAATTGTGACATAATTCATTACTGAGTGAATATCTATTATGCCAGGTACATTCTATACAATTACCCCAACCTTCAAAACCAGAGGGAGAATCAGAGAAAGGCACTGACACATGCTAAGAGAGATAACCTTCACCTGTCATGTTCTTCTATTTGTCTCAAGTCCTCACATCGACTTTCAAAGTTAAAGTAGTTGCATTTACATGTATCTAAAGTGTGTTTCATGTTTTCTTCCAGGTTTAATGCAGAGATTAAGGAACAGAGGAGAGAGGGATCGGGAAAGGGAGAGAGAAAGGGAAATGAGAAGGAGTAGTGGCTTGCGAGCAGGTTCTCGGCGAGATCGAGATAGGTGAGATCCTTTTGTATCTTACTGAATGCCACCTTTTTGAATGAAGCTGAAGGTAGGCCTGTAATGGGAGGGTCTCAATTATGGACTATTTTTAGAAAAAGTTTTAATATTTGGGTACATGAATAGTAACTGAACTGTTATTAAAATGTTCTGCTTTTAAAACCCTGGGGCAGTTAAAATTACATAACTTAGTATCATTCTTTCCCAAATTTGTCTTAAAATTTTAATTGTGGAAATTGTATTATATTTAAACCTCTTAATTTTTCTCCTGTTAGGATGGGTGGCATTTTACTTTGGACTAAAATTTCCAGGAAATGTGGGTGGATTTTTGATTTCTGGTATTTTATGGTCCTGCTCCCTTAGAATCAAATTGAACTATGCATTGCAAATTTATAGATTTTTAAGTAACAACATCTAGAAAATCTTTATTTCCCAACCATCATCTATTAGGCATTCCACTGCCTTTCCCATAACTGGAGCTACCTGTATGCTCTGGTTTTTCATCTTCTTTAGCAGTTGTGCTGATGTTTTTTGCAGACAAGGGAAATAAGTTACAATAGCTTTGTTCTTCTTACAGAGACTTTAGAAGACAGCTTTCCATTGACACTAGGCCCTTCAGACCAGCCTCTGAAGGGAATCCTAGTGATGATCCTGATCCTCTGCCAGCACATCGTCAGGCTCTTGGAGAGAGACTTTATCCCCGTGTACAAGCAATGCAGCCAGTATGTATGGTGCACTTAGCTTCCTCTTAACTGACTGTGCCATTTTTGTTTTTGAACTAAAGTTGGCATTGTAAAAATGTTAGCTACTGGCAGGTTATGTGGTTGAGGACTGTAGTGAAAAGGAAGCTTAAGAGGGAAAGCAGCAAAATTTGCTGGAGGGTAGCTTGAGAGGGAGGTTTGTTTTTTCTACGTATGCTAAGTTGGCATTCTACCTAATAAGTTCCTTGTGTGCTAAAGTAATTATCTGTGCATTTAATTTGTACAAATTGTTACTTTTTGAAGCAGACTTTTTAATCTGTTATCAAGTTGTAGCTAAAACATACTGCAAATAATGTACTTTATTGCTGTTAAGTGTTGCCAGAAGATTTTATCTGTCAAAGGTTTCTTTCATACAGTATGAAACATATAAACTAGTTGTGTTTTTCCTTTATGTATGACTTACATATATGTGTTCTAGCAAGAGAAAATAAAACAAAACCAATTATAGTTCTTTCAGTAAATCTTTAGCCTTAATTATAGGCATCTTTCTTCTCCCTCTTTCACTTCTTCTCTCCCTTTCTTTTCTTCTACCCTACATGAAAGAAATGTTTTGGCTCTCTGAGGGGGAAAATGGAAACTGAGTATTTGTATGTTTACTCATGGATAGCAAAAATCTTAAAAGGCTTGTCATACAAATTTTAAACTAGCTTTAATAAGACTACCAAAGTTCTCTATAATGAAGCTTCCAGTTTAATAAAATACCTTACTAGGTCAGAAATTTTTTTGTTATCCAAGTGTCTATATTTTCTTCTTTTTTTTTTGGATAAAAGATTGTTGATTTAGACAAGAGGTTTCAGAGTGTAGGGGCAACTAACTTCGTTCATTGTTTACAGGCGTTTGCAAGTAAAATCACTGGCATGCTGTTGGAATTATCCCCAGCTCAGCTGCTGCTGCTTCTAGCAAGTGAAGATTCTCTGAGAGCAAGAGTGGATGAAGCCATGGAACTCATTATAGCACATGGACGGTAATGTGTATAATTGGGAAGGCATTTCAGTTTAAACATCAACTACTTTATTTTTAGGATGTAGGTGCTACCATATCTTAAAATTTATACTATAAAGTACACAACATCAAATGGTTTTATAAGAGATGGCTTAAAATCCATGAGTGAGACAGTTGAGTTTCACATGTATTAGAAAGAATTTTAGCAGTGACTTAAGTTCTAAAAATCTTTTATATACCTGATACTTAGAAATTATTTGTAAAAAGTACATCTCAGATTTTCTACCAGAATACCCCTAATGGTAGAGGCCAGCTATTTCAAGGAATTAGGGTATAGTCCCTGAGTTCTTACCATAAGCATGAAGCTTCTTTTAGATACCCTAATTTATCTTAAAAATCCATGCAAGTTTTTGCTTTCTGTTGTGTACTATATTTGTTTTAATATAAAACTTAAAAATACCTAATAATTAAATTATTCTTTTCCCAAGGTGACAAGTAAAAGTGACATCAGGAAGATAAGCCAAACTTACCCTGTGCCTTCTATCCTGAGGCTACTCTAATACCCAGTTTGAGGCTTTTTAGATGCAAATTTCTCTCTTTTCTTCCTAGTCATGATTTTGCACAAGGAACTTAGATTGTATATGGTCCCAGAAATGGATAAGTGGATAGGCTAAGCACTGAAATGTAACAGCCACTTACCTGTTTCATAGCCTTTGAATGGTCCAAGCCAAAAGACTACTGCTGGGAGGTGGGGGGGGAGGGAGACTATTGCTAGAAGTTTATTTTCTTTGCTGGTTATTACTATTTTTCTTCTATGGACTTTTATGTACTGTTTCTTCATTCCTTTTTCCTGTCTCTGGAGGTAATCAGCACCCCAATAGAGCTCAGCCCATTATAGAAAAGGTTATGAGGAATGTGCATTTTGATAAAAAGATTCTGATATGTAAGGATTGCTAATTTAGTAGTGTTTTCTGTTGAATGCAAGTAATGTATAATCTATTGATTCCTTTTAGCTGGCTATATAAAGTGAATAGTGAATTAGTATTCTAAAATAATTAAACACACCAAAGAATTTGATTCCTATTGTGTTTGCCTTCTGAACATTTTCTGTTCTTTTACAATGCTCCCTGTGAGCTTGAGCTTCAGTACCCCTATGAAGACTGCATTATTTTGTCTTAAATCAGGTAGCCCTTAGCTCATTATCTTGAATCACACATGTAGCATCTAATGTTTTTTTGTGTATATAATACTGACTTCTCTGTTCCTATAATTGCACTGACTAGTAAGTGTCCTGGATATTTTTTTTTTTTTTATTCTTATGTTAATCCCCATACATTACATCATTAGTTCTAGATGAAGTGTTCCATGATTCATTGTTCGTGCACAACACCCAGTGCTCC